TTTATTAGTGATTAACACGTAGTTTTATTCCGACCCCTCTTTCAACCCGCAGATTTATTAGGTACATAATCTTGGTTATTTATAGTGTAGAAGGAAGTCCTAATTGAATGATGAAATTACTGTTGATATTTTATTACACATAACTTTGCAATTAGGATTTAAACTACCATTAGAACAATACGCAAACTTAAAATTAAAGGTTATTACTACTGTATATATTATTATAATTTCCAGCAATATTCTTTCAGTTAAAATTATTTTTTTATACCTGTTGCTATTAAGCTCTAGTGCTTCCTCATTAATTCTGTAATAGTTAAGTATTAGTATAGTAGACTCTAGACAAACACATATGTTTGAGGGGGGGGGGGTGATTTTTAAGGACTCTGCCAATAAGTCAATTAAATGACAATGTGAAGAGTTTGTAGCACTAGATTTAAAATTTAATAGCTTTTTATTTGTTATTGAATACTTCTCAAATGTTCAGATAAAAAGTATATTTTAACAATAACTCAATATATTTTTAAGTGACTTGCTTTATGGAAAGTGTGAAAATGAAAGGCAGTATTTATAAATGGCAATGATTGAATGAAATTGAAAGCAGTTAAAACCAGTTAGCTACGGTTCAGTTAGTTTTATATCTTCCACTCTCATAGTGAAAAAATTATTTCGACATTTAATATTTTTTCAGAATTATTTTAAATTCAATTTCTTTTGTTGTCTATTTTGTTCCTTTTTTCCCCCATACTTTGTCTTCCTTTCTGGTACTGAAAAATATTTGAACTAAATTATATTTAAACATGTTTTTTTTTTGTTTTAATTATAGCTTCATTGTCAGTTTGCGCTTTTGTCGGTGTGCGCTTATATAGCCGTTCGCATTTGTCACTGTGGGCGATTGTCGGTGTCCGCATTTGTCGGTGTGCGCCATTGTCCGTGTGCGCAACTATCGGTGTTCGCGTTTGTCCTGTGCGCATTTGTGTCATTGCGGAATTGTCTGTGCGCGTTTGTCGTGTGCGCAATTGTCTTGTGCGCGTTTGTCACGGAACCCTACTAGACCATGCAGGTCAAACACGAGAAGAGACTGGGGTGAGTTGGGTGGATCAAATAACCTCCATGACTTTTTAAGACAAGGGGATAAGCGAAACATTCCACCGTCTTGTATGTAAACATTGAAGGGACAATTCATGGCTGTCCACACATGCTCAGATGTTGACATTTGTTTTTCTTCACTTTTTCATTTTTGAATTAAGATTTTTCAAAATCATGTGCTGTAAACATTTAAATATTTGTTACAATGTATTAAAATAAATGCTTAATTTCATTGTAGGAAAATATTGAGATGATAAAGAATAGTAATTATTTTATCTATTACCATGTATGTTTCATTAGAGATGTCTTAATTCTACAATGCATTGCCATAACAATAGTAGTGACTTTCAAAGTATGATTGATAGCGCATTGTTTTAAGATAGACCTTTCATGAGAAAAATTACTAAAATAACCATATGTTTTATGCTATAAATATTGATGTCAGTTTACAAGAATATGCACGCGAACTGACCGCTGTTTTGTAAACTCGCAACATTGGGTTTCACCAAACGTCACTCGTGAGGGGGGGCGTGTCACGTTCAGATCGCGTGAGTTTTCTGTGTCAACTTCTATAATGTTAATTTGACCAATCGTGGGTGAGTTGCTTTTCCCCGTGTGCCCCACGAGTTTTTAATTTTCTCGGTCAAGGTATGACCGGTGTGCTGTGTCGGGGGAAACCACGTGTGTGAGTTGAGTTTTTTTTTAGGAGTGAACAGTGGCGAGTGCTGTGGATATGGTGTATGATTTTTGTCTTGTGAAGGCAGTGAGTTTTTCTACGATGGAAGAGGACTTGTGTAACTTTAACTGTTTTGTGTAGTGGCATATAGGCACACATAGCCAATAAATAAGAAAACCTGAAACCCTGAATTGTTTGTTGATACTTGGAGCAAGCAAGAGTCAGCTCTGTAGGAGCTGGAAATAAAGGGGTTCTAGGCCCTTTTAAAATTGTTCTGTGGCTAGTACAGAGGGGACCGACCCCTAGACAACGTACGTCACGTCACAAGCATAAACCCTACTCAATGGGTGCAGACAGCCCAGGACAGAGAAAGGTGGAGAGCAGCTGTCAAGAAGGGGGCTACATCCCATGAAGCTAATAGGATAACCACAGCTGAGACACGCAGGCTTGCTCGAAAGTGCAACATTAGGTCACCGTCTGCAGCAACTATCCCATTCCCGCGATGCCAGAGATTATTCCGAGCACGGATCGGTCTTGCAAGCTACCTACGAGCTCACCGTAACCCACCCTCCCCCTAACCGGATGAATCGATGGTCCTAGTCGACTTCGACGGATGAACAACAGCAACATATAAATCAACCTAATAGAAAATGTTGCTTTCTAACATATGAGGTGTCTCTTTTATAAATCAACATAATAGAAAATGTTACTTTCTAACGTGTTTTTCCTTGTTTCATCACATTTCCATATCAATTTTATTTTCACAACAATTTATTTTCAAAGAATAAGTAAATTATAAATGAAATTATAATTAAATCTTGAATTAATTAGAGATTAGAATTAGAAATACTAAGAGAGTGTTTCAAGCTTTTAAAAAAAGACTAACGGTAATGGTAAGAAAAATGAACAAAAAAAAATTTCCCCACAGCACTTATTTGGAATACAATATGACAAGCTGTTACAATGATAGAACTTGTTTAAAGGAAACTAATTTATCTTGAAATGCCTTCATAAAAATAAATAGACGCAGACTGGTTGTAGTAGCTTATGTCTTGTCTAGACACAAGTAGTTCAATGGGCTTTTTTCCTCAAGTTTCACATGGTATTTATAAGTCTCAATTCAATGTCCCTTTTAAATATCATGATACATATGTATCCAGTCACAGATCATTTATAAGAGCTATTGTTCCAACTATAATGATAGAGCCTGCATCAGTAATCATTTTTCATAGTTTCTTAGACATCCATTATTTTGCAAAATATTTAATACTTTTAGAAATTTTAAAAATTAGTTAAATTCTGGCTTTTGAATATATTAAATGACATTGAGTAATAATTAATATGATAAAAGGATTAAAGTGTATTTTTTAAAATAAATCAAACATAAATAACATTAATTAAAACTTCCACACAATTGAAAAAGAAAACTCCAAAAGAAAGGGCAGTGTTAGAGAAATTTTAGGTTACTGCAACAAGTTTTCACACTACCTTCAGCCTATCTCTCTCAGCATTTACTGAAATTAGTGAGTATATTTAATTTAAAGTTAATATTTAATTTTATTCTCACTACAAAGAAAGCACATTCATTGGTTATGTGTTTGGACATTCTACATCTGTAAGAGTATGTTTGTGCCCTTACCAGCTTATATGCTTTTTATTTAGATAGTTTAGGACAAAAAAGTTATCTTTCACAGAAGAAATTCAAGCTTACCATATTGAGCAATGACCTTGGCATTTGGCTGAAGCTCAATGAGAACATCGCAGGCACCCTATATCACAAGAAAACAATAAATGAGAACATCACAGGTACCCTATATCACAAGAAAACAATAAATGAGAACATCACAGGTATCCTATATCACAAGAAAACAAATGAGAACATCGCAGGTACGGTATATTACAAGAAAAAAATACTGAGTGTTGTAATAGCACTGCTGAATCAATTGTCATATATTTTTAATTTTTAAAAGTCCCGAGTCAATAAAGTTAAAAATAATAAAATATAAGAACAAGGTATGTTAAACTTGAATTAATAGACAGGACAATAAGATTTGGACGTATCGGCTTAGAGACTCTTTAGCAAACAAGACAAAAAGAAGTATGACAAGTAACAGAGCAGAGTAAAAAATTTAGAGATTCCCTTTTGTTGCCGGAAATAGAAAATTATTGGTAGGCTATTTTTACATAACTAGTGCATCCCAAGTATT